CAATAAAGCTTTAAGAAGAAACAAACTAGATCTGTTTCGCCACTGCAGCATTATTATACCCTGAATTTTAGGGAACGTAGGTTTTTTTTTTTTTAACTATGAAATTACAAAATGAAAATTAATGAGATTTTAACTTTTTTAATTACAGAGACCCAGCTAAGTTCCCCTGAAAGTCTTGACCTTGAAGGAGAAGTCTCTCCAGGTAGCAGAGAGACCCCAGAGGAAGTAAGAAAAATAGTGGCAGAAAAGGAGGTGAATATTCTCCTCTGTAATTTTTCTCAGTGGTTTTTTTCTGTTGGTAGTCCTCTCTCTGATGCAACATTGACCTTGGCTGAAAAGATTCAGGTGAAAGAGGGTTTTAGCTTTTGGGACACTTATCTCAGGGATAGATTCTTTTTTTTTTTCGTGACCGGCAACGGATCGCAACCCTCGGTGTTGCGCCCGCACCTCGCTCAGCCAGTGAGCAGGAACCGGTCTGTATGTGGGATCCGAACCCTCGGCAGCGGGAGCGCCACCGCGCTCCCAAGTGGCGCACTGTAGCAGTGTGCCACCGGGCCGGCCCCTCAGGGACAGATTCTTAAAGTTACCTGTTTAGCACTGTTTCTAAGAATAACAGTAGTTTCCATTTCTTAAGTATTTTTATATGCATTATTATTTCTATTACAGATGTAGAAACAAAGGCTTAGGATGTTTAAGTAATTTGCTCTAATTCATGCTGCTCATAATGGTAAAACTAGAATTCGAACACAGATTTATCTTCAAAGTTAGGGCGTTTTCCATTATATACTGATAAATAACAGAGATACAATCTTGGGGAAAAAAATCTCTATATTTATATTATGACATAAACATAACTTTCATCCCTAATTTCTAGATGTGATCAGAAATGCAAAGTCAAGATAGCTGCATGATAAAATAAGCAAATCTCTATTTGCATCATTACCTTTCCTAACTTTGCATACCTGGCAACAACCACCAAGCTGATTGATGCAAGTTCATACTTCTAGTTAAGATTCTCAGTGTGCATTTTTCATGTTGATTCTGAGAAATTAGCTAGCCAGGAATTCTTTTAAAGAATTTAAAATCTTTAAACTCTGTTGCTGTGAAAAGCAGCCTGAGAATTAAATGAATTCTTTTGTGGAAATAAAAGATTTTGGTTACATTTGTTATACTGTCCTATCTGAGCACCTTAAAAAAGACTTAATTTTCTTAGTCCTTTTTATATTCTGGGTTTATATTCTAGGTTCTTCTGAAGTTTTTGTAGTAGAAGTTAGATCCCCTCCCTAGTCTCTGTACTGCAAGTAACTGGGTAGAAATTCTGCTTTCATGAATCATGCACACCACTTGGTTCCATGGAACCTGATCTGTCACAACTGGGAGACCAGTTAGTCTCCCAGTACCTGGCAGGTTCAGCTTCCAGACAGACCAAGTTTCCCTGATGCCACAGAGAACAGAGGACAGATCCTACTAGATAATGTCAAAATGGCCTTTGAGTCCTTTTCCCAGGCAGCAAACAGAACCTTCTAAATGGGAATGGAGAAACAGTATTATTAACACAGTCGTCCTAACATACAGAAGAATCCCTACAAGCCTTTAGTTAATTAATCAAGGCTGATTTCTTACCCATGCATGACTGCAAGGAAGACTATTTTTTGTTTGGGTCAAAGAGCATGAACTCTATCTAGAATTCATACTGTACATGTCTGCCCTACTACACATCAGATAGATGGAATTGTGTATAGCCTTTTTCACATTGACTGTCCTCTTTTTAGTGTTGCTGTTTGCTGATATCTGTGGATGTCTGTAAATAGTCTAAGAAATTTCCATTAAAAGAAGTTATAGCTACTGTAGTTTTTAAGTCATTGAGTAATCACTTACTAGATACAAGCCACTTATTAGAAAGATGGCATTGAATATTTTATGTGCACAAGGATAGAATCATAAAGAGTGTGGACTCTTGCCCTTGGAATCTGTGTATAGGGATCTTTGTCCTAAAATTTGTTGTTTATTGAAAGGTAGTATGGTGTAGTGCAAGGAGTTTAAACATTGGAATTAGAAGACATGGCTTTGAATCTCAGCCCTATCACTTTGTGACGTTTTGGGCAAATTAATAAATCGTTTTATTCAGTTATGAGGCAGTTATTTATAGTTTGTATACTTCGTGCTAGTCACTGTTTTAGACTCTTAGGATTTGAATATAAATAAGAAAAAGACAATTCTTACCCTCAAAGGGTCCTGGTAAGGGAGTAGACAGATGCATAAACAGATAATTATACAGTCTCTGACTTATGATGGTTTGACTTACGATTTTTTAATGTTACAGTGGTGCAAAAGCAATACACATTCAGTAGAAATGATACTTTGAGTACCCGTACGACTATTCTGTTTTTCACTTTCAATACAGTATTCAATAAATTTCATGAGATATTCAACACTTTATTATAAAATATGCTTTGTGTTAGATGATTTTGCCCAACTGTAGGCTAATATAAGGGTTCTGAGCATGTTTAAGGTAAACTAATGTAAGTGTTCTGAGGGTGTTTAGCTAGGCTAAGTTATGGTGTTAGGTAGGTTAGGTGTATTAAATGCATTTTTGATGTACAATATTTTCAATTTATGATGGGTTTATCAGAATGTAACCCCGTTGTAAGTATCTGTAATTATAATGTGGTCTGACATATATGATGATAGATTCCTGGGGCACTAGGGGAGCACAGAAGAGGAATGAATGCTTTTCTGAATTTCATTTCGTCATATATAAAATGGAGGCAAAGATACCTATTTTACTGGGTTGATCTGAAGATTAAATTAGATAAAGAATATAAAACACATAGCAGATTTGGCACAAGTAGAAATATGCATATGGAAACAATTATTTTACTGCTTTATAATATATTGTGGCTGTTCAGTGATATTATCTTACAAATGACCGAGAATTGCTCGACATTATTTGAGGTATTTGGAATATTCATGGCAGAACTGTAGTCCCTTTTGATTTCCCACATTAGTTAGGTTTCTTTGGAAATAATGTTTTCTGAATATCTTGCATGAGAGTTTCCCTTAATTGGAGTCTCACAGAGAAAGTCTGTTCTCAGAGTTAATGGAAGTTATTCAGAGTCAAACAGCTAGTTTAATCAGTTAGTTTTTAAGTAAACTCCATTAAGAATCCTAGGGTAAGAGGGGAAAGATCTAAACAAACAGCTTTCTAAGCTACACATAGAGTGGATGGTGCAGGGGTAGAGGACTTGGTGATTTGCAGGACATGCTTTTATTTTCACTGGGTGTGTTTCTGAAGGTGAGGTTTCTTTTGAGGCCAGAAGACAAGGACCACTAACCTTTTAACAGATCAAGATTCAGTGTCTGAGTACCTCTTTTAAGAAATAGGTATATAGTTATTTTAAAAGTAGAAGCAGCTTTGCAGAGACCCTGACTGCATGATTCTAATAAAAGCTGCTTTGCTTGTATTTTCCCCCTTAAGTTTTCTCCAGAGTAGTTAATATTTAAATAGACTTTTTTTGATGGTGCTGGAGAAAATATCTTATTTTAATATAAAAATGTTCAGAAACCTTCTGGGTTGCCTCTGAAGGTAGTTGGAAGTGGTATTATATTCACAGTGAGACAATAATAGACAGATTGCTCCCTCTTGAATACATTAATAGTTGAAGGTACATTCTCTGCATTTTTCCCCCCGACCAGTAAGGGGATTGCAACCCTCAGCATGGTGTGGTCTGCACCACGCTCAGCCAGTGAGCACACTGGCCATCCCTATATAGGATCCAAACCTGTGGCCTCAGTGCTACCAGTGCCACACTCTCCCAAGTGAGCCGGGGGGCCGGCCCCATTCTCTGCATTTTATAAAGCTGGTGATGAGTACAATGGAGTATAGTGCTAAAGCACCAGTAACATCCACGTCATATAACATTCCTGTGCTTAGTGAACTTTAGAAAGCCAAGTAACTGTTCAGTTGCCACTTTCAGTAACTCAAGACTACTTGCAAATTTTAGGATATATTGATTTTTCCCCTCTCTGCTCGAGTAGCTTGCAACTTTTGACAACTTTTCCTTGAGATTTATGAACAGAGGAAGTGAGAAGCTCAGTGACTAAGCTTGGAATAAATAGGACCTAGGACTTTCAGACCCACTTGACTTTCCTCACTACTGTGGAAGAATATAGAACCAGTTAGTCTCCCAGTACCTGGCAGGTTCAGCTTCCAGACACAAAATGGAATGTAGGGCTTTTTGCTTCTGTCACAAAACAGTAGAATGGAAATACTGAAGGTTTTGGTGCCAAACAGGCCTGTGTTTGAGATTAGATTGAACATGTGTGATTTTGTGATCAGTAGGTCATTTTGCCTTTCCAAGCCTCGATTTCCCCTTTTGTAATACTGGAGCTAGTGACAACTGTGTCCAGTTGGGCTGTTGTGAGGAATGGATATGGAAAATACTTGGTGGAGCCTGGCATGGTATAAGAACTCAAGCACTGTTAGTTCCTTCTCATCTTTCTATTTTTCCCCTTTTAGAGTATGTCTTTTTAGTAAAAGCCAGGTGTGTTAAAAACAGGGCATTTTCTGGCAGTTGTAGAAACTGTTTGATTTGGTAATTAGATGGTCTGTTTCTCTCTGCTTACTCACACTCACAAGTAGTAGATTTTAGGGATGACTTAAACTTAGAGACCAAAAAAACCCCAAAAAACCCCAGTTGCCTCAGAAGTCAAATTATCTACCCATTGCAGTTTTGGTTCTGTTTTATTCTTGTATCAGAAGAGGTTTTATTGTTTCCCCCCCGTAGTAGGGTGTAATGATAGCCCATGTGCTCCTTGCTCTTTGGTTTTTTTGTTTTTGTTTTTTTTTGGTGGCTGGCCTGTAAGAGAATCTGAACCCTTGATGCTGGTGTTATAACACCACGCTCTAACCAACTTAAACTAACTAGCCAGCCATCCTTGCTCTTAAATGGAAGCAGTAGCAATGCAGGACAGTTTCACATTGATTGGATAGGACATTCTGTCCTTTGAAGCAAGTGTTTGGCAGTAGTGCTGCAGTGCTCACGCATACTGTTGAATTAATAACTGCAGAATTCTTGGCTCTGACCAACCTGTACAGGTAGAATAAAACTGCCTCTTAGATACCAGCAACTATAGGAGAAATGATGACTATAAAACATTGAGAGGAGTAAGAGAAGGTTTAAGAGTGGCTTTGGCAGAATTGATTGTTTTAACTAATGACTTTTCTTTGAGCCTCCTTAAATACTTGGGTTGTAGTTTCCTCTTTAAGTCGAAAAAGTCACAAATAAAACACAAGAGCTGTTATGTCTTATTGGTCTACAGACTTAGGTTTTTAACTTAAATTGTAGTTGTGCTGCTTTTGGCTTATAGCTCTTTTATTTTCTAACTGCTTATGTCTTAAAGTCACTTAGAATGAACACAGTTCTTAAGTGAGATTGAAAAAGTGTCTTTAGTATATGCTGTTGATACACAAAATGTGGAACACAGCAAATGTAGTGCACTGTTGAAATGAGGGCTGTATCTTGCAGTGTGGTAGAGGTCAATGCACTCAAATTTTGGAGCCATAGTCTTTGGTTTGAATTTCAACTCTGCCACTTATTTGTTCTGTGACTTTGTGCAAGTTGTTTTACTGTTTTGGACAACACTTTTCTCGTGTGTAAGAAAGGATGTGTTAATAATCTTTGTAAGATTTTTTAGTATTAAATGAATAATACATGCAGAGTGCTTAGTCATAGTTGGCAGGCACTGAATAAGTATTAACTATATTAGCAGTATCTCCCAGTCCTTAGTCCTGAATTTGGTAAACTCTTTGATTGGTATTGTCTCTTTAAAAGTAAATGATAGGGCCGGCCCGTGCGCCGCTTGGGAAGCGCGGTGGCGCTCCCGCCCGAGGGTTCGGATCCCACACACAGACCGGTTCCCGCTCACTGGCTGAGCGAGGCGCGGGAGCAACACCGAGGTTTGCAATCCCGTTGCCGGTCCCCGGTCCGGTACGGGGGCAACACTGAGGGTTGCGATCCGTTGCCAGACACGGAAAAAAGACAAAAGACAAAAAAAAAAAAAGTAAATGATATATGGGTTGGAGTCTCTTGCAGTTCTTTGGGGGAAAAGATATTTTATAAACTAAAGGTGTTACAGTTGCTGTTTGTCATGTTCTTTTAGGTTGGTAACAGGGATGATGCTGAGAAAGAAATACCTACTTCCACCCTCTCATCCAATACCCAGGTATTCTGCCCACTGTGTGACCAAGGCTTCCCACTCACAAAGATTGAGCGACATGCCATGTACTGCAATGGTCTGATGGGACAAGATACAGGTAAAGCCTCATCAGGACAAACTCTTACTTTTCTTTGTGTAGTGGTTTTGTAATCCTGTATAATAATGCAATGCAAGGAAAACAGACAGCTCTTCATCAAAGTTAAAGTTGTTGTTCCTCTCTTTTTTTTTTTCTATCTAATTAATTTTCTTGTACTTTCATATTCTTTATTACTTTTGGCAGGTATACTATCTTGTTACACATACCTCAGGAGAAGGGGAAGGAAAAGTCTTTTATCTTTTAATATCTCAACTTATTCTTTGCAATAGGCAGGCCAACAAATCAGTACAATGCAGTGGACCTTGCATTTTGTTTTATATATTAAAATATTGAGACTCCTGTGGAACTTGAGCAACTGAGTTTTAGAGTTGCCCATTTTTTCATTCAAGATAAGTCCCTGGTGCGTTGTTAGTTTTTGTTGGGTTTTTTTCCCCCTTAAATAGAAATTCTACCTAGAGATAACTACCAGCTGAAAAAATTCTAAGGTACAGTTGGCCAATACAGAGATTGAACCCTGGACCCTAACACCTGGATCGCGATGTTATCAGCACCATGCTCTAACCAACTGAGATAACTGGCCAGCCCTAAATTCTAAATATAATAGTTTCTACACAGCTCTCTCTGGTCCACCGTGCTGAATGTAATCCTTAGATAATTGAAAGTGTTGCATGTTCTCAGTGCTACTTGGTTTCTGTAACTTAGGTGTATTTAAATCTGAAATTGTATAATTGTGTAGTATTTTATAAGTTAAGATTGCCAGAAAGAAAGGTATATGTTATTTAATTTTCTTGAAGTAATATACTTGTTAGTTATTAAATAAGGAAGTACCTAAACTTGCAACTTAATAAATTTGTTGTTTTTTTCTGATTATAATAAAGTAATACATGTTCATTGTAATAATAAAAATAATGATAATGATAATAACGATGGTTTACATTTATTGAATACTTAAAATTAGTCAGTACTGTTTACATAAATGGGACTATACTATGTGTATTATTCTGCAGCTTGCGTTTTTTATTTAACAGTAAATTTCAATCTCTCCATGTGCAGATATATTTTTTACATAGTTGAGATCTGACTGTATGTAAAGTGTTGTATTCTGCTCTTTCTATTTATAGCATAAAATTTCCCCCATGTCACTGAGTTATTTGTAAACACATTTTAATGCCTACATTAATATTCTGTAATCTGGATTGCCTCTCTTTACTTATTGCATATTTAAAATGCTTCATGTTGCCATATTATAATTATATGATACTTGAGCCTATTATGCCTAAAGTTGCTGCTGTATTTTTGGGTTATTTCCCCAGGTTCTGTTCCTAGTGTAGGGTGGTAGTAAAAAAGATAGGTTCTAGAATCCAATCACTTTAAGGTTGAGTCCCACATCTGTCACTTACTAATGCGTGACCCTGTGCTAGTTTCCAAGCTTACCTTTATGCATCTGTCAAATAATTGTAATTACCTTGTTCAGTTTTTGTGAGGTGAAATAAGATATTTTAAGGAAAGTGCTTAGCACAATACCTAGCACATAGTAAGTACTCAAGAACTGTTATAATCCCCAGTAGTGAAATTACTAGATCAAAGATTTTGTAATCATTTTTAAGGCCCTTTATTCATAGTATTGTAGTCTTTTAAATACTATTAGAGTTGAGGACCTAAATCTGGCCATCAAATCCTTTTAATGGAAGAGCACTGAAGGACTGGAATCTAAATGCAGTTTTAATTTGACGTAGCTCTTTAGTCTGATTTTTTTTTTTAAGCTGAGCATTCCAGTGACTGAAAGAATTCTGGAGCTGAGCATTTGGTGACCAGAGAGGGAAGAGACTATCTTGTCTCTCTCTCCAAGCACACTTAACACAGCTAATGTTAGTCATCTGAGTCAATAACTTACTCAACATTGAGGTCCAGAAATAAATGAGTTTGAGAAGATGAATGCCCCTTTGAGCTCTAGAAATAGATGACCTCGTTCAGGTCCGAATTATTAGATAAAGAATAGTATAGGGTAGCTCCTATTGACGTCCAGAAATAAATGAGTTTGAGAAGATGAATGCCCCTTTGAGCTCTAGAAATAGATGACCTTGTTCAGGTCCGAATTATTAGATAAAGAATAGTATAGGGTAGCTCCTATTGACATTTACCATACTGAACTCTGCTAGTTTGTGCTTAAACAGGAAGTTTTGGCATTCATTAGTGTCAGATATCTTTCAGCTGCATGATATTTGTTTTTAAGCCTGTTCTTCCTTTCTGGAGTATGGTGGGACAGGGGAACTTACATCCCCAAATACTTGCTGTTGACATTGATTCAGGCTTGTTTCTGAATTTTTTTCTAACCAAATGGAGGCTTATGCCACCAGAACCAGGTTGTTCTCATTGAACTTGTTGAGAAGCTGACACCATCAGGTGGGCAAAGTAAACTGAGACTTACCATTGTCACTCATTCAGGGAGAGCCTTTCAGGTTCTCCTTATTCTGTTTGGTCCAGGGTCAGTGACCCTGTCTAATATTGCTCAATTGGACTTATACTTTGGGTCTTGAAGACTTTCAGACATAATAGATGTTAATTTGTTTTCTGATATAATAGGAAGTCCTTATATTCTTGGCACTATGTGTCTTATAGCTCTGATCCAGATGTCTCAGACCTCCATCTGAAGATGTCTGCTATATTCTGAATGACAGTCACACCTTCTTTTTCGTAGGGAATTTTGTTATAAACACTAGTTGAGAAGTATAATAAAGGCAAATGTAGAATACATCCTTCTATTCAATGCTAACTTTTCTACCTAGAACTAGAAATTTGATTCCTTTCTCCCACCTTTTACTTCCTATTTACCTTTGATTTCTCCAATTACATATGGAACACTTTTTTTTTGTTTGTTTTAAATGGTGCTAGGCCTATGTGGATTACTAAAGGAGTTTAAGACAAGATTTCTCTCATCAAGGAGCTTGCAGCCTCAATGGGGGAAATAAGCATTTACCTAAGAAATTAATTACAAGATGACAAAAAGTGAATGATTGTGTACCCAAGTGAGGGTGCCTGACAGTAAGTGCAATGGGAGAGAGGAGAGCTTCAGTGAATAGGGATGATGTCCTAGAGAGGTTGGTCTTAACCTATTGTTTGAATAAACCCATAGGAAGGTAGGGGGCCCTTTACCCACCTATGGGTTTGGGTAAGATAGGAAGCAAGGAAATGGCCACTAAACAAAAGCTTCCTTTTAATCTTCCTTGTAGTGTTAGCTTGTTAACCTAAATCACCTTCTCTAGTGACATTTTAGGCCTTATGAGAGAGAGTTTGGGGCAGGGAGTCCTCACCGGAACCATTCCATTCTCTGCTTACTTCTCTACTTTCCTGGGAACAGAGTTTAGGGGTACAGATAGGTTGGGGAAGTAATTAGAAAGGAATTATGGGAAGCGCCTACTAGCGTGCCTAGCATACAGAAGGTCTTCTGTAGGTCTGATCTCTTTATTTGGTTTCCCCAGCAGCTTGTTCCTCCCCTTCTTTCTTGCCAGAGGCAAAAGTTAGTGATTATTCTAGTTCCTCTCAGCTTTATGACTGTACACAGAGGCCAGGCCTCCAACCTCATTTTTAACCTTTGGTAAAAGGAGGCTTCTCCCATTGGGGAAGGAAAAGAGTTACTCTTCTTGAAGCCACATAACCCAGGCTGGGAGACCATTAGACCAGTGCCTAAGGTGTGGCATAAGAGAGGACTTACCTTCCAGAGTTAAGTATCCATCTTTCCCCTCTTTCCTGTTTTCCCCTGAAGCTGATCCTAGACATGCTTGGTTTGGCTGTGTAAAAGAAATAGTAATTAGAGTAATTTACATGAAGCATCTACCATTTATGTCTAGTTACCATGAGCACAATAACAATTATGCATATCATTAAATATGTGTCTGATTAACTTTGCTATAAGTTTTATTTGATTATAATACTACACTCTGGTTAAGTTGTCTCAGTCTGCTCAGTGTTGCTCAGTGACATGGCTGTCTATTTAGAACTATGAAAAAATTAGAGGGAATGTTCTTCAAAGGGATTGTTTGAAGGGAGAAGATTGGCTAAGTTGATCTAGATTACAACAAAAGCAGATGGCTTTTGCATTTGCTTTTTTGTATTTGAGACCATTTTTATTTAAACACCTAGGAAGAATAAATCTTCCCATTTACTCATTCAATAAATATTTATTAAGTACCTATTATTACCAGATACAGTGAATAGAATATAAAGTCTCTGTTTTCATAGAGCTTATATTCTGGTAGCAGGAGGCAGACAGTAAACAAATAAATATACATTATGTCAAGTGATGATAAGTATTTTGGAGAAAAAATAAAGCAGCATAAGAGGGGGATAGGGAGTACCGAGGTTAGGAGATAGCAATTTAAAATAGGTAGTCAGGGAATGTCCCATTAAGAAGGTGACATTTGAGTAGAGACCTAAAGGAAGTGAGGGAATAAGCTAAGAGTATCTAGAGGTGGGGAGGAGAGAGTATTATAGGCAGAGGGAACAGTAAATGCAAAGACCCTTAGGTGTGAACAAGCTGGAGTGGAGTAAGTGAAGGAGAGATAAATAATAAGATCAGAGGTGTAACTGGGTGAAGGGTGGGGGCAGGTGGACAGATCACAGGGCTCTTTTAGGCAATATTAAGGACTGTGGCTTTTCTTTTCAGCAAGGGAGGAGTCCTTGGAGGGATTTGAATAAAGAATTAATATTTAAACAGAAGATAACTCTGGCTGCTGTATAGACAGTAGATTATTGGGGTGGGGGACAAAAGCTGGGAGAATAGAGTCAGTGTTTTATTTTTGGCAGTATGATAGAGTGGGAGAAACATGGGCTTTAGAACTAGACAGATCTGGACTTGAATGTCAGCTGTAATATTGGTCAGTTGGATAGTATTTGACAAGTTAACTTACCTACCTCTTTCAGGATTAGGTTTCTCGCTTGTAAAATTAGTCTGACAGTATCAGGATTACAATGAGAAACAGAGATACTTTATAAAGTACCTA